CAAAAGTAATTGGGGCCTTTTTTTAAGGGAGTCCTCATTCGAAACTTCTTTTCTTCCCCCCCCCTTTGAACAAAAAGGGAGGGGGGGGGGGGGGGGGGGGGGGTGTACTCATAGTCGTGCATGCCGTAGTCGTTTGACCATTGACCTCGCATCCCTACAAAGCCGGGACGGAGAACGCCGGGTTCTCGCCGGACCAGGCTCTCACATCACCAAGCGCGAAGCGCCGTGAGGTATTCGGCGAGACGCATGAAGGGTGAGCTGCATCCTGCTAAGGGTGTTCGGCACCTTGTGCTTACTTGCTTGCGTATGGATGACAGCTGCGTATGACTTAATTTATTTTCTGGTGCTTTCACTTCCGGAGACAGCTGTACGCACTGCGTAATTGCCTCGAGGGTGTTTGACCAATTTAGCACAACGTGCGATTATCCCCTTTGCGCGGAGTGAGGCTTCTCGACCCCGCACAACATAATCTACTCGACCACCATATATGGTTACCACAAAAAATAACAAAGGCAAACAAAAAAAAGTGGTACTCACGAAGTGATCGGCTTGTTTTACAACATCGCTGGCAGGCGACGAAAACCCAACCCCGATGGCCAACACCGGGGGGGGCGGCTTGTTTTACAACGTCGTTGCCAAGCGACCAAAACCCAACCCCGATGGCAAACACCGTGGGGGGGAGGGTGGGCGGGAGAAAAGCTACGGCATGTTTGCTAGCGATGGTCCGAACTTCGATGTAGCTAGCTGCTGCCCTCCTATGCCACATTTGTCGCCCTGAGCGTACCAATCTATGGCTAATATCTTTGGCAGCTGTCATGCGTTCCAAGGAAGTAAGCACAAGGTACTGAACACCCTTAACAGGATGCAGCGCACCCTTCATGCGACTCGCCGAATACCTCACGGCGCTCCGCGCTTGGTGAAGTGAGAGCCTGGTCCGGCGAGAACCCGGCGTTCTCCGTCCCGGCTTTGAAGGGATGCGAGGTCAATGGTCAAACGACTACGGCGTGCACGACTATGAGTACACCCCCCCCCCCGGCACCCCCCGGTTCTAGGCCCAATGAGAACCCGGCGTGCTCCGTCCCGGCTTCGTAGGGATGCGAAGTCAATGGTCTAACGACCACGGCATGCACGGCTATGAGTAACTCCCCCCACCCCCCCGGTTGCCCCCCTCGGTGTTCGCCATCGGGATTGGGTTTTCGTCACTTGGCAAACGATGTAGTAAAACAAGCCAATTCACTTCGTGAACTCGGCAACCAGGTTACCGTCTTTTTTTTTTACCTCTGTTTTTTTTTTGTGGTAACGATAATAGTGGTCGAGTAGATTATGTTGTGCGGGGTCGAGAAGCCTCACTCTGCGCATGGAGGATGATCGCACCACGTTGTGTTAACATGGTAAAGCATCCTCGAGACAGTTACACAGTGCTTTCACAGTTCTTACAACTGTCTCCGGAAGTGAAAGCACCAGAAAATAAATTAAGTCATACGCAGCTGTCATCCGTACGCAAGCAAGTAAGCACAAGGTGCCGAACACCCTTAGCAGGATGCAGCTCACCCTTCATGCGACTCGCCGAATACCTCACGGCGCTTCGCGCTTGGTGATGTGAAAGCCTGGTCCGGTGAGAACCCGGCGTGCTCCGTCTTGGCTTTGTAGGGATGCGAGGTCAATGGTGCAGCTAGCGACTACGGCATGCACGACTATGAGTACACCCCCCCCCCGCACCCCCCAGTTCCCGGCCAACTGCCGCTCGCTTGTGTTCAAGGCGTGCGAGGACGCTTTACGGCCAACGGAAACCCTACTGAACTACCCCAAGTGCTGGCTCAAGGCGGGCGACGCCCTCGCGGCACTGAGGAAACCCAAAGAGGCGGCGGGATACTACCAGGTCGCGCTGGACCTCGATCCTTCCATGGAGAGCTACCTCAAGCCCAAGATCGCCGCGTGAGTGATGAGGGGAAAGGGGTAGAGCGCTGGTATCGGAATGTGCTTGCTATTCTGGCGTTGGTGAAGTCCTATTCGTTTGTTTGTTCGAGAACAAGAAGAGTCCGGGATAAAGTAGCGGTGGCTTGATAGTGTTACCTTCCTGCGGTTCTGCAACAGTGCTCTTGTGTTTATGTGATCATGTAGAAGTTCTCCGCGTCGGGACGTTTCGTGAGCACTCTTCGTGCTGTTGGCACTGCTGTGTTTGCTGCCGTGTGCAATTGTTTCACCTCTCTCTTTGACTCGAGATGTTTAGCGTTCTGGTACTGCAGTATTAAGCGGTTTGATTGGCCGGTGTTTGTTTTGTCGCTTTCGCTCGGCTTTACAACCATTGCTGTCTTTTGTCTCGTGGTGGGGACTTTTTCCTGCTGATGCCTTCAACCGCATCCTACACATATCTCAACCTCATGCTCTTTTCTCTACTTGTACCGGTTCTCACCTACCTCCTTCGCTTGTCGTGCAAATGTCGGTCTCCGGCTGCCGATTGGATGCTGTTGTGTTTTTTTCCTGGCTGTTCCCTCCTTGGGACTTCGGGGCTACACCCACGGCATGCACTGGCGAATCGAACAAACAACGCATGGCGAACTTGCCCACTGTTCTCACCTATGTCATCTAAACTCGACGGCAGTTATTAATATTATAGTTGTAAATGGAATCACATGTCGTTCACACCACCCTCTCCTGTTTAGTTCCTTCTCGCCTTTGTGAATTTCGTGTTTGTATGTCAGCCCCAGAGTAGACTCATCCAAGCGCCAGCGGAAGTGCCAGGAACCAAAGGTCCATGCGGGTGCGGTGAGGCGGCGGCAGCACACCAGAAGACTGCAACTTTCGTGGAACTTTCGTTTTGCGCGCCGCTTGTCCAAGTGAATAAATCGTGGTCATGTGGTGGCCCGTCAAGTGCACCTGACTCGCTCTTTGTTTGCTTGTCGGAAAGCTGCTGATTGGTAACTTGTTTGCGTTGCGATTAGTTTGGAAGGTTCCCTACAGAACAGCTTGTCATAGTCCACAGCTGGGGGCACCGAGCACTGGCGAAAGTAGTACCCAGTACTGATATGCAACGATGTAGAGAGCCTACATTCAACGGGTACAGGTGCAACTCTAGCGAGTTTACACCGGTGTGCATTGACGTGGGTTCCCACGATTCGCACCATTTCAAGTAAAAAAGTTGCGTTTACCATGCGTCTGAGGAACGGCAAGGGGGATACATGCCGACCGTGTGTTGCGTTTGACTGCTGGTAGCCGAGAAGTCACCAACAAACACTGACTACAAGCAGCATAGTGTGGACACAACCCTGTTTCATTCAAGACACGTATGTTGAGCGTCCCCACTACGCCTGAACAAGGTCGAGGATACGACGGTGGCCCATCTAAGGCCCACGTTGATCGCTATAATTTCTACAGGTAGATATCCATTAAAAACGGCGCCAACAACTCCGCGTTCCGTTGCGCAAGGCTTCGCGAGGTTCTTTCGAATTCGCCCCTACAAATGGTGCGAAGGGGAACGGAGTTGAACGAGTGAAATTGAAAAAGGAAAGTAAGCCCCCACGCAACTCAATCGAGCCCATACTTCCATGCGATTTAGAAACACGTGACGGTGCGTCTGGAGCCATCGGTCAGAATCCAGAGGTCATATCTTTCGGCGGAAAACGATCTTCTTCAGCGCCGACCGCGTAGCACACCCAAAACCTTGTGCACGAAGACGGCCAGTCAGAGGTTTTGTCCGTGCCGTTCTTGCGTAAGAGGCAACCATTCAAGTGCAGCTTGGAAATGGAAAGTTGGCTTGGCGAAGACAGCAGTGTACATGACATTGGTGGCGGAGCGCTGACGACTTATTCTACCCTAGGCGAAAACAACAGGGTTGAAGGGCATGTCTGAACAATATAGAAAGGAAGCAGGACGTCCCTTGTAACGTTGTGTGATGTTTTGAGTCCTCACTACGTGCTACACCGTGTCGCTCGCAGACGTGCTGAGATTTGTACCTGATTAACACTGAAAGGAAAGGTGGGTTCCACCCCGTCGTGATTTGAACCCCGTATTTTTCTGCTGTCAACGCGCGCGACCGCAAGACGCCATGGAATGCCAAGAGCGACTGCTGCACAACACGGGCTACGCACGCCAAGGACGGCAGCAAGAAGGCGGAATTCTGCTCGAAGCACGCGAAGGAGGGTATGGCCCGTATTTAACGAGCCAAGATACAGGGGTAGGGTCAGCTTACCATGCCCTGTGATGCAGGTCTTCAAAGGCCGTTGAATGATGTGGGATTCACGATTGGTACCTCTGTGCAAGCGTCCGACCCCGGCCTTGGGTTTCTTGGTGCTGTGTGTTTTCATGACCATGGCCATTGTCTAGACTATCATGCAGGAGATGCGGCCAGGTAGCGAAAAAGCCTAGACATGCATACAACATTTCTGCGTTTCCATGTTTCTCGCCTTCGCTGACTTGTAGATCGTGTACGAGATGCGGGGAAGCGAGGGCGACCCAAGGCGCGTCACTTGCTACCTACCAAGCGTTGATGTCAACAGCCTAGCACAGCCTATGGAGGGTTGCTGGATTTAGAGCACTTGGTGACACGATGAAACCTTTGGTATGCATCAGGAAAATGCACCGACCGATAGGACATGTTATGGGGTGTGGGATCGACGCCATCTGTATTGCTGGAGTTGTACCTCGAAGATTAGCCGGAGTGTTGGCATTAGGGGATTCTAACCACTTCCTTGGGTTTGTTTTTGTTTTCTGCTGTCCGGGGTACCGTAAGGATGCGGGTCTTTGCCCCCCTGTGCGGTCCTTTCTTGATATTCTCGTTCTCAGTTTTTTCATCGCACAGGTGCCAAGACGCGGATACGCGCCATGTACCCGATACCTCAGCGGAGAGAAATAGGTAAATATACCGAAGTGCGTATACCCACCCCTTTCTCAAACAAAGTGGGTACTCGAAAATCCGCTTTGCGGAGACCGCTCGTGACAAGGCACAACCACTCAAAATATCATCCGGGTGCATGGAAAACATGGGCAGGGCCTATGCGCAGCATGAACATTAACTTTTTTATTCTTTTGGGCACGTCTTCACCCTGCACACAGCCGCGGGCACAAGGCCTCAGCAGGTTGCCCGATTTCGTCCGATATTCCGGTGGGTAAATGCTTGTGTGTGTGTTGTGTTTTCGTCCTATTTATTATGGCAACAGTTCCCCTATTTTTTGTGGTGAGACGTGTACTACACTTACACTTTTTCAGTGTATTTGTTCGTACATCTTCAACCATTATCCATCCAGGGTCAGTGCTAACGACCAAATTGAGTACTCGCGAGAGCTTTCCCGCTATATTTCGCTTTCAACCGCAAATCTTGTAAAGGGGATTCGAACTCACGACCTTTGCGACTAGCGGGTAACGAGGATGCCGCTAGACCACCGGGTCGACCGGTCCGGTATTGTCGCCGGAATCTGCTGACTTTTTCGTGTACCCACCTTTGTCTGCTGTGACCCACTATTGCCCGAAATGTGTACCCACTTTTTTCATTCGAAAAGTTCCCCCGTGAGGTGACGTGGAGGTCCATTTTCGAATGAAAATTTCGGGAAAAAATGGGTAAACATTTCGGACAACGGTGCGTACATTTCGGACTAAAGTAGGTCACAATGCAGGCAAAGGTGGATACATGAAAAAATCCGTAGATTCCGGTGGGTAAAAGGTGGATACAAAAAACCCAGCAGGTTCCGGTGGGTATTCCGGTGGGTATACCGACCGGAATTTTGGACAAAATCGGGCAACCTGTTGAGGCCTTGTACCCCGCGGCTGTGTGCAGGGTGAAGACGTGCCCAAAAGCAAAAAAAGTTGATGATGTTCATGCTGTGCATGGACCCTGCCCATGTTTTCCATGCACCCGAATGATATTCTGATTGTTTGTGCGCTGTCACGCGCGGTCTCCGCAAAGCAGTTTTTCGAGTACCCACTTATGTCTGAGAAAGGGGCGGGTACACACCCACTTTTGAATATTTCGCGAAGAAAATGTTTATCTTCGGTAGTGCTGTTTATGACACAGCACAACGTTTTTCGAAACTACTGTACGTTCTCGATGTTGTCGTGCAAGCCCTGGTTCGTCCCAATGTGACCTCCGCGCCCGTTTCCATAAAAATAATTTGAACTCCGCGCCAAACGTTCCCCGAAATCACCTCCAATGGGCACGAAACCGAGTGCGCGGTGTCACCACGTGTCCCAGCTCTCGCATAAGCCGTTATCTGGCCAAACTCAACATGTGGCTCCTGGGATACGCCCAAAAAATGCCACGGCACCACCTCGGTGGTGTCGTGAATGCGCCTTACTGTGGACACCGTGCGATACGTTCCGGAAACACGTCCATTGGGCGCGAAACTAAATGCACCGTGATCTCACGGCCTCCACCTGTCGCGAAAGTCATCGTTTGAACCATACTGACACGTGGTCGCCGATGTACATGTAGGCCCAACGTACATTGTTTGAATCATAGAAGAAATTGAGCTTCACGGAAACGGGAACTACGTTCACCCGTCCATTCTTGCCCATGACGTTTATAGGCGGGGTTGTCGGTGTCCCAAGACATAGTGGTTCACAGTCGTCCTTATATGACAATACTTCACTCCCTCATTCTTGTCCGTAACGACATTGTCTTGGGAGGGAATTCTGTGTCCGAACGTCCAGGTGTGAAACCGAACCCTATCATAGTTGAATCGCATCAGAAGTATGAAAATGCGGGGTGTCGTCGCCAAAGATCTCTTTCACGTTGTTCGGCCGTGGCTTCCTCGTTTAGGGAACCAATATGCACCTGATACCAAAACCCTCTGCCTTTCAGTGCTTCAGTATCACGACACTGTTCTCTGGAGAACTGGACGTGAAGACGTGAAGACTCTGTGAAACCAAAAGTGAGAACCCGAGGAAAAAGTGGTACCGATCGGTGAAACATAATGGTTTCCTGGAAACGGACCTGACAATTTGTCACTCCATTTTTCCATGCCATTCACATCCGGTTCGGCGGTATTCAGAGTACTACGCATATCCTACACCAATTGTGACAGGCGAGAAAAAAACATATCAACCCACTCAACCCGCTTACGCTCCCGCGCAATCGCGCTTGTCCGAAGCCTATCACCGCCCGAAACAGTTTCCGACCCGTTCGTTCTTGCTGACGGTGCTCCGCTGCGGCGTTTCAGTTGCTGACACTCTCCGCCGCGCTCGGCGGAATTTGAAATGGTTTGGGCTTTCCACCTCCCACTTTCCTTGCGTGCTTTGCTTGTGAACATTGGGTGTTGAGCTTCTCCCTCACCCCGTAGGCAAGTGGGGGTACGTAGATCTCGAAAGCTGTCCGCGTACCCTCCGCTGTTGCCGGTAGATCTAACCAGTCCAAATCCAAGCACACAAACAACGGTACTAATGTCGGCTGACTCTTATGGTAACCGAAAGTTGGCCCGATAGATTTTTTTGGACTGGCGTACCCCCACCCCCGGATTTGCCATGGATTCGACCAAGAGACAGACCTCTCACCACATCACCACAGATTTCTCCGTCCATAATGAATGGTCGGATCGTCACGAAACCTTGAAGGCTGTACGCACCACACCTGTAGGCGTCTTTGGAGCTAGTGGTGACTGCTGTGGGGTCTGTGTGTGCTGATAAATGTCAATCCATGTGGGCAAAAGTAAAAATCCGTGTGGAAAATCTGTCAAGGATTCTTTATCAAAAGTTTGACT